CTTTCTCTCTACTTTATCTACAGATATAAAGCCCTCATTCTCATCTAAGTCTTTAATATAAACACTAACCACCTTTCCTTCTCATTGTCCACTTGTCCATGTTCTGGATGTTTCCAGGAACTCAGTATTCATGCCCATCCCCCTGAAATAAACCTTCCACGCTCTTTAACAAACAAACAAACATGAGTGGGTTTTCATTTTCCTCTTTGCCTTCTATCCCAAAGTCACCATGTGAGACACCTTCTTTCATGTGGACAAAGTCCTTATGGAACTGGTTTTTCTTATATCTCATTCCTCCTCCCTTCTGACCTGTCCTCCACCAGACTGGCCAGTCTGGGTCACACAATGCATCAGTCAGCACCCCTGAATGGCTCCCCTTGCCTCTGCTTGGTGGGAGAACATTACATGATCTGCCTACTGCCTCCACTCTGATGCCATCCCCCAGAACACCTCACCTTGCACCCTTGGTGTGTGTTTACCACTCCTAAAGCAAGACAGGGAACCACAGTTTCTCCGTTTTTTTCTCTTTCTAATGGTGTGGTTCAAAAAAATAAAAGTAAACCCATAACTGCTCATGGACCAGTGATGGGTTAGGTAACTTTCAGAAACACAGCCCTGGCTATCTGTCTGATTCTTCTGTTGAACCCAGCCATTGATTTCTTTTGCCTCATTTTGAATCTGTAAAATTGGATTTGTAACCTCATAAGGGTGTCACTATTAGAGGAGAGGACGTGTGCACATATTAACTTTTGCCAAGGAATTGAGATGTTCATGCAATGTACATTAAGTATGATCAATGGGAATAATGAACCGGAGGCCCAAGGGCATTCTAGCCTGTGTTTACTGGGTTAAAGTTCAATGTGGCATTTTGTAATATTCACAACTTAGTGATACCTAATGTTTAGGGAAGAGTTTTAAAGAAAGCTTGGTATCCACACCTTACATTCAGGTAAGTGAATCCTCAGGGTTTAAAATTTATTTCTGGTGGAGCAGACGTGCGAAAATGGGAGTCTGCTGGCACCACAAAGTGTTCACCACACGGTGAAGATTTATAGAAATGTTATAAAGGCACGGCAGGAACGTGGTACTTCTTGGTTTTTGGCACATGACTACTAGAGTAGTATTTACTGTTTCTCTTACTGCCTGTTAACAAAAGGTGGTAAAATGAAGATCAAAGCAAACCTGCCTTTTTTATTTTCCTTTCAAAGGGTCAGTCTTGTCTTTGTGCAGTATTTCTTTGTCCAACAGCTAATTGTCTAATGCTGCAAGATGGCAGAATGTTAGGCCTTTATTGCCAAAGAAGCCATGAGGCAGTGTTCTCGTCCTAGGAAACTGTAAGGGAGCCCCCTAACTTCAAGAATGGGGATGGTAGAGAACCAGCTGGGACCTTTTATTCCCAGGGGTTATTTGAATTCACAGTCAACCTGTGCTGTCTTTGTATTTTCAAACTCTGTGAAGGTTTTCTTTCTTTTATTTTTTAAATATTGCATTAAAATGTGGATTTCTAAAACTACTAGAAGTAAGTTGCAGCTTACCTTTCAGGGGAGTATGCATTAAATATTTAAAAGATTACTGAAATCCAGTAGTTTTGAGGAATTCATCCTCTCCTCTTAATGTAAAAATGTTTCTGAAAAGGCATTTTGGCACTTGTGGGTCCCACTGGAAAGTAACTGGCTTATATGTATATAGAACTGTAATTTACCAGTGACTGGCCCTTCAATCCAGCAGTAGTAATTTTCTATTTTCAGCTACAGTCCTTGGATTAGTACAACTCAGGCTCTTTTCCATTTCAGTGATCTTTTTGTGAAGCTCAGTAGGCTTTTAGAAGGAAAAATCTAGGTATGCTTCTCACTGGTTAAGCAGATTTCTCTCTGCAAGAGGATATTTTTGGATTCATTCATGGACTGTGTGCTATTTTCCAATCTTATGGACATACGATAAAAGTTGACAAAGGATAAATGTGAACAGAAACCTGAAGTGTGTGTGTGTACACATGTGCCTACATGTGGTTATTCTCCTATCTCACATTGTGACAAGCAGGTCCCAATCATGAGATGAGTTCCCCTACTGATCAGTTAGTTTGACTCTGTTTCATGTTCCACTACCTCATGTTTAGAGGTAGCCCAGAGGCGCCAGGCAGCCAGGGTAGAGGGACACACAGACATGAATTCATTGTGTACTAAGGGAATAGGGGCTGGGGGTGGGAATTGGTGGGGACAGCAATCGCTCAAGGACCTATTGGCCTATTTCATTCATAGCGGACGAGTGGTATCATTTTCAATATGACTGCGAACATATTTTATGATTATACTGCAAACATTTTTCTCTAGTAAAGCCAGCTTAGTTGTAAAATCTACCGTCTCTCACTAGGCAATGTCTCATTTCTTCCTACTTTGTACGAAGTCTCCATTAATTTAAGGATATTTAACAACTATTTTAACGATAGTTGCAAAACCTAATTGACTCTTGCAAGTCTGCATACCCCAGTTCCCGTGGGGACTGAATTGAGATTCTGTACCTGCAGGTAACATTCACGGACACATGTGCCACATCAAATTGAAAACACCTATTAGTGCTGGGGAAGAGTTCAGGAATTCAGAGTAGGATTCCTTCTGCTTTCAGGTCTGGCCATCCCCCTTTCCACATCTGCCTTTGTTTTGAGTCTGAGTATAAAAGCCCCCATGCCTCTGTAGGGACTAAGTCCCGGTGTTCCCAAAATGAAATAAAGCTGAAAACCTATATCCTGGGTTTGAGCATTTAGGAAATTAATCTCAAATGTATTTACGTCTTAAATGTGTACTTCGTGGATAGGGAAAAAAAAAAATCCTTTATTATGATTATTTGATCTTGGGCTGTTTGCTTCCCTGTGACTGGTCACAGCTGTGACTGGGACACAGCTAGTTGATGTTGCAACCGGGATTTACAAGGCAGCAGGACAAAAGCATCTTAGCTTCAGAGCAGATGGCCCACAAATTAATCCTGGCTCAGTGACCGAACTAGCTGTGTGACTTTAACCTGAGCCTCAGTTTCCTGATCTGTCAGGCGATGACTCCTCTCTCAGTGCTGTTGTGACTAACAAAGATAAAACTTATCTGACAAAGCTGGAGATGTTCTGGATACTGGGATTCTTTGACCTGACCTCACCCTGCCTCATGGGTTGTAGGATGACTGGTGACATATGGCCTCCTTTGATTAGGCTTTCATTTCCCCAGTAGTTTAGGCATAACTTTCAAAACAGCCATTTGGATGACTTTCACATTTTGATACAGATCAAAATTCTCCGTGAGACCCTAGAGCATGAAGAGTACCAACTCTGTCATTTGAGGGATATTCCATTGCTGTTAACAGAAGAGAGTTGTTGATTAGCTAGCTGTGGTAGAGGTGGGCTCAGTTAGAGTCCTCTGTGTCCCAGAAGGGCTGTTCTGTGATCTCTGTTCCACAGACCTCAGGGAGGGCTCCTTTGTGAAATCTTATCTGGACAAGTTAAGTGCTAGGAAGCTTTTGCTTTGCTGCTGTGTTTCTCCTGTAAAAGAGGAGAAAAAGCCATCCAGGCCATCCTTGAGAGTAAAGGAATATACATCTTCTGCAGAAGTCATTTGAGTTTCAGCTTTCACTTTGCTTTTTTTAAATTTTTTTTTTTTCAACGTTTTTATTTATTTTTGGGACAGAGAGAGACAGAGCATGAACGGGGGAGGGGCAGAGAGAGAGGGAGACACAGAATCGGAAACAGGCTCCAGGCTCTGAGCCATCAGCCCAGAGCCTGACGCGGGGCTCGAACTCACGGACCGCGAGATTGTGACCTGGCTGAAGTCAGACGCTTAACCGACTGCGCCACCCAGGCGCCCCCACTTTGCTTTTTTTTAAAAGTCACTCTTGGAAAGATGTTTCATTTTCTTCCTAAGATACTTCGTAAATGCGATCCTTTCATTTTTTTATTTGAAAGAGGAAGGTTGAGGAGGGGGGTGCTTCTGGGTGGCTCAGTTTGGTTAGACATCAGCTCAGGTCGTGATCTCACTGTGTGAATTCCAGCCCCCACATCGGGTCTGCTTGGGATTCTCTGTCTCCCTCTCCCTCTTTCCCTCCCCAACTTGCACACACGCTCACTCTCTCTCAAAATAAATAAACTTTTTTTTTTTAAGATGATAGATGAAGGAAAAGATCCCTTTTTCCTTAGCTTTACCACTTTCAGTAATACTTTTGTTAGGTCCATGGAGATGATCAGAAGCTGTTAGCTGTATCTGGGTAAGAAACATTTCTGAATGAAATTTGTCGTTTGCTTGAGACATAGCTTTTCACTTCTTCTGCCAAAAGGTAGTTTCAGCTGTGTGTGTGTGTGTGTGTGTGTGTGTGTGTGTGTGTTGCTATTGTAAGTACTAACCTGATTCTCTGGAAGTAGAAGAAACAAACTAGATTTGAAAAGATTTTCATAAATATGTATAATACTGGACTATGCCCACTGATCTTTTGATTAAAGAAATAAATAGGAAATAACAAATCATCTTTAATTCAAAAATAGAATTTCCAAATAGAATTAATGGCAGTAGGTTGTATCTACTGTTTATTTCTTAAACAACAAGATCTTGCATGTTTGAAGCATGGATCCTCTCTTTCCTTCCTTCTCCACATCTTGCCATCTCTGTAAGAAGCTAGCGAGAGGGATCTAAGATCCTAAACGATGCAGGCCGAATTTTCGTCATAAGGAGAAGCACGTTTTCACCACAGACTTGTTGGTGGGTAACGTTTGACCTGGGCAAGGAACTGCACCTCCTGCGCCTTGGTTTTCCTTGCATGTAAAACGTTGATTTAGGTGGTTTCTCAGACCTATGCAGTCCTTCAACCCCATTCTCTTTTATTCCAGGTACTCATCAAAGAGGTGAACATGATTTTAAGTAAACTTAATACCTGAAATTTCCTTCAGCTCCCCAATCTACACATCTAACTCTTAATTGAATCCCCCAGCCTTTGAGCAAAAGATTTCTGAAGTGTTTTGTTTTGTTTTGTTTTCCAGCATGGATTTGCCAACCATCTAGTACAGCTCCAGCAGTGGGCTGGACAATATTATTGCTCCATAACCTTGATAGTTGAACTGGAAACACCTGAAATACGAAGCAAAAATGGAGTACTTACAACAGATGTAGTGTAAAATGTAAAAGCAGGTGATATGTATAAGCACTTCTTACCGCTACCACTATGCTTCATTTAATCCTCTCCCCAGTCCTGTAAGGTAAATGATGTCACCCCAATTTTACAGTGAAAGCTTAGGCACCAAGAGAAGTTAAGTGAATTGTCAGAAGTTATCCTTCCATCCAAAGTATGTAGAGAGGTTGCTTGGGGCTCCTCGGTGGCTCATTTGGTTAAGCGTTCAACTCTTGGTTTTGGCCCAGGTCATGATCTTGCGGTTTTGTGACTTTGAGCCCTTTGTTCGGAAAATGTAGGAGAGTGGTCTGGGATGGGAGGATTGTTTTGGACTTTTTAAGCAGACTTGATTTTGATTAAAAGGCAGAAACAAAAGCAACAAAAGCTACCAATTTGGCAGTAGGCATCTGTCTGTGTCACTTACTATAAATTTAATTTTTTCACACACAGCATAAATTTCAGGCAGCCTAGAAGTGGAGAGTCTTAAGTGAGAAAGCTCATTTCAGAAGAAAACAATAATCCCATGATTGTATGCTTTGGAGAAAAGAGTCCAAAAAAGAACTAAAAGTGGGTCAAGTGTTAAGAATTGCTCAGCACTGCTGGGAGTGACTCGCCCAGAGCAGTGGGAACTGGGGGGAGTTGGCTGCGTGTCCCTGAGATGGATCCCCCCTCCCCCCCAGTAGGTGGATTGTAGTTTCTCATTTCTCTCCTTTCAACTTGACTTGCAGAAGGGGTATTCCAAATTGTGGTCTTGGTGAGAACAGGCACGGTTCTCCCCCTGCCTGTCCTCCCTGGAATGTCTCAGGTGCGTGGCAGTGTCAATCCTCATGGCCCAGCCTGGGGTGATAGGGACCTCCAGAAAGCTGCGATGTGATACTGTGTGCAGAATGATCCATGGGCGTCCAGCTATGCCTTCATCCAGGGACTCGCAAACATTGTCATGATTGAAAACCGGGTCCCCCAAAGAAGAGAAGGACTTCTTGCCTTACGTCCCCTTCCCCGTCCTGGGGAGTCCCCTGCTGCCTGTGCGGGCATGGCGACGGTTGACCTCCGGGGCTGCAGCCTGGCGGGCGGGCGGAGAAGAAAGGAAGAGGGAGCTGCACAGCGCTGGCGGCCCCCTCCCCCCTGCTCCAGACCTCTGCGGTGAGTTCCCCCGACCAGCATCCCGCAGCTGCCTGCGCTTCCAGGTGGACCGGAGCTGCTCCCAGCCCTCCCGGATTAGGACCTGTCCCGGTTGTCAGGGCAACTGTTTACAGGACAGCATATCCCGGTTTTCCCTCTGTGCCGTGTGCCGAATATCTTACTGTGCGGTGGCAGGAAGCCTGGGCAAAGGTGCCGCAGCAGGAAGAAGCTGGGATCTGACTGAACAGGTTAGGCAGTGGAAGGAGGCTTCTGACCCTGCGTGCCTTTCCCGGGGCTCTTCCGGAAGGAAAGTGCGCCTGCGTGCTTGTGTGAGCGTGTGTGTGCCAGCTAGCGAGCTCCAGCCAGCCACTTGCCTGGGGGGAGTAAGCGGGAGGGGGCGCGGAGGGGAGGTGGGGGGTTGCTGCTAGGTGAGGGGGAACTGCAGGGCCTCAGTTGCCAAGTGGCTGGTAGTATCTGTCAGCTGTTTGCACACTGTTTACCCATAGGGGATCTATTACAAGTGCTCAAATGAACCGGCAGCTTGGAAACTAGCAGCTTCCTGGGAGCTGCAATTACATAAGCATATATTTTTAATATAATAATAATTAAAAACCAAGTAGCCGCGGTATGCCTGGATCAGCTACAGCTATCCGACAAGAGAGACTGAAGAAGACCAGTGCAAGGCCAATTCCCCTTGGTTTATTCACCATTAATGAGGAAGATGAACAGCAAAAGAATGGAAATTCCAGAAGACCTAAAGGTATGCATTAGCTCTACCCTTTGGTTGGAACTGGAGCCAGCCCCCATTTCCCACACTGTCTGTAGCACATTTACAAACTGTGTCTGTGGTGCACGCTGTGTGGAGTGCTTGTGACCTCCTAGCACAGTTTGCTGGTTGTATTTACACATTCTGTAGAGCTGTGTATGCATGAAATGCAGAACAGATTTTGCAGATTTGGTAGGTTTCAGATCAGTTGCCTTTTTTTTTTTTTTTTTTTTTTTTTTTTTTTTTTTTTTTTTTTGACACAAGCTACTTTCTTGGCTTGGAGATCTTTAATTTATACATGCTCATTTGAACAGTTACCAATGGCATGTCCTTACCAGGAAGGAAAGAGGACTTAATCCAGGTTTAAATGATCATCTCCCTACCTTGTTTAGGTGCATTGGTGATTTCTGTTTAATGATCTGAGTTTCTCCTTGAAAAGGGATGAGTTAGATGAAGTGACCTAGGAGTGAGTCCTTTCCAAGGGCAGAGAGTCAAGATGTTACTTCTTTTTCTATTCTGAAGGAGCTTGAGAAGGTGGTAAAACAAACATTGAGCACACTGTAGGGGGCAAAGCTAGAGAACAGGGAGGGGAAAGCATGATGTTTTATAACTTCTGATGGTAACTCTGCTGAACATCTGTCTGGAGGTTGGAATGTGCTGGGTGCAGAAAGGGAGGTCTGATTCTTGTACCTTTCTTTCATAATGATGAAATGGAGCAGCAGCTTTGCCTGGCTTCTCGAATCCCCCTGTACTGCATCGTTTTAGCATTGTCTCATAGCTACCCTCCCAGAGCTGTAATTGTCAGAGATGGCAACATCATAACATTTTTGAAGAGGGGCTTTAAGCCTTGCCTTTTAAGTTTCTTTTTTCCCAGTATCCTAATTCTTGCAACCCCCTTCCCCCAAATGCATATGAGCTGTCTGTCTCTTAAGCTGATAGGTTATCAGTTTTGTTGTTTCTATGTGCTGATTAAATTTTAGCTTGCATTCAAATTGTTCTGTCACTGAGATATCAAATTTCCTCTGTGTGGTACAGAGCAGTAGCATGGCAAAGTAGCAAGCAAATACTGAAGCCCTGATAGAATGAGTGTTTCAGTAGAATCCAGTGCCTGAAAACGACTGGCTTTCTTTTTCCTGGCTCTTGAATGGGTCTTAGAGTTTGCTTTTCTTAAGTATAATTGAAACTGTCAACTTTAAATCCCAAAGTATATTTTTACTTCACTTTTAAAAGGCTGTATACAGGGAATTTCAAATCAACAGAACCTTAGTAATGTAGTTGATTTTAATCTTACTATCAGACATAGTTTCTATCTTAGAACCAAATGACTTCAGGAATTTACTGATGCCACGGATGGAAGCTGACATAGGTGATTCTTTTATTTGCCCAGGAATTGACAGTTGAACCAGAGTGTGGTCTTGATGAAAACCCAGTACTTTCAATGGTTGGTAGAAAATCATTTGGCCTCTTAAGAGGTGTTAACTTTCTAAATTAATGTGGAACTGTTGAACTGTGCCCACTGTGTATTTTTGGAAATGTTCTTGATTTGCGGCACTTTTCCCTTAGGCATTTTGGAACAGTAATTTAGGATAGCTATCCATTTTGTTCTGAGTAGTTTTCTTGAATTCCTCTCTTTCTTCTGTGGTTCCCCCCCCCCCCAGTTGCCTTTAGTATTTTATTTAAAGGGAAGAAGGGTAGGGGAAGTAGTTACTTCTAAAAATGTATTTATTTTTGGCAGTTCGTGCAACTTCGTGGATAAGAGAGACTTAAGGAGTTTCTGAATCCCTACCATTTTTCTTTTTCTACTTTTCCTTATATCAAAGGGAAAAAGAAGAAAAAGACTAGAATAAAAGTGCTACGTTGATAAGAATGCCCAGACATAAACAAACAACATTGGAAATCTTTAATGATTCCTAACGAGTAGTACTATTGGCTTGGTTCTGAATTTCTCATCAGGTCTTTCTGAACAGTAGGAATGTCCACTTTCAAATCTGGCGTTGTCGATCAGAACAGTGATGGAGGTATTCTATGTATGAACTGTCCAGTATGATAGCCACTAGCCACATGTACTGGGAGTACTCGAAATATAGCTGCTATAACTGAGAAACTGCTTTTTAAATTTTAATTGATTTTGAGTTTAAAGGGCCACATGTGGCTAGTGGTTACCTTATTGGACAACACAGTTTGAGTCTGTAGAGCTTTGATCTTCTGAATTTTTGTCCTCTCTGATTTGTCTATCCTTAATTGCTTCCTGGTGCCAGATATGGTCAGGTCCTGAAATGAATGTGGTTTTTAAAAAGGGCCTGATGGAGCAGACAGCCTCTTTCCTGCAAGGAAGCATAATAAACTGGCTTTATAGACCATTTCGGCTGTCCTTTCCCACGTAAATGTTATTGCCTGCTCTGAATATTATTCTTAACTCACCAGTTGCCTGTACCATCTTTTGCAACATACAATGGACTTTTATTTTCTAAATTATTTCCAGAGCATCATAGCCAGATGACAAACAGATTATCTTCCATGTGTGACTATTAAGATAAACAATCACTGTGTTTTCTTTTCTGCCTACTCTGTGGCCTAATCAGCCAACTGTACTCAAACTTGGTTTTCATGCTTAATATCTTTATTCTGTCATTACTAGGAATAAAGAAGCATGCTATCTAAATTCAGTAAGCAAAATGCTTCTGTCAAGAATGACCCTGGGTTCATGACAAGTAGTATCGTTCTGGGTACTCTGCTGTTGGGTAACCATCATAATGAACTCAGTAGGAATAAACGTATCGATTACCGTCTGCACTCCCACTGTGGCTTCACAATTACCCTGGTGGACTGAGACTGTAGTTTGTTTAGCTAGTAGATGAGATCAGTTCTTGAAGGAGGGATTTTTCTCCCATGTAATCGATAGGGATGTACTTGATAATATTGATATATAACATTTAGAGAGTAATTGGGAGCGAATTGGGCTTATGTTCTTGCTCTTACACCTCCAGAGCCCAAGCCTCAGTGCAGTGCTGACGTTAGGACTGGCAGAGGCGAGCCTACTTAGGTACTGCAGTGACTAAATGCCCTTGGATAAGTTTCAAGGCAAACCTACCTTACGGTGAATTTTGCTGAGCAGGTGTCATTATTAAATAAAAAGACATTTTCTCCCTAAACCAACACTTGTTAAATGCACACTCTGTACAGATTACATTGCTGGGTGGTTTGTGGAGATGGTGCAAAGGTAATTGACACGGTTTCTACTCTCAGAGGTGTTTACCTGTCTAGTGGAGGAAGACCACTATGGACCAATAATGCAAGAATACAAACTAAAATCAGGGAAAGGGCAGAGAGTATATCGAAAGTATCTACACATACAGCTGTGCCCTTCTTGAAACTGTAAGCTATTCAAGTGCCAGGACTACTCTTCTGGGTAAGAAATTGCAGACCGCATGGAACATTACTGAATGGAGATAAACTTAACATTTAAAAATAATTTGCACAGTCTCTGCAAGTCTAACAGGAATTTTAAGAAATGTTGACCGTATTAGAATTGTCCTTCCAAGGTAACTACTTTGAGGGAAACAGTAAGTACTATATTTGGATGTATCTAATAGGTTAATCCTATCACTCTTTACCTCGTTGCCTCTACCTAAGAGTATATTGGGGATTCTACTCTGTTTTGTTGTTTTCCATCATTTTCCTTGGTGGAAAAAATGAAGGCATATGTTTACAGGGTAGTATTAATTGACTACTTTGTTAATATCTAGATTAATGCCTTCTGCCCCTTGTGTTAGCAAATTGCAGATTATAGAATTTCTCCTTTAAATCAGGGCGCAGTAGTTCTGAGCAAATGTGCTCTCCTTCTCCCTTTACTCCTTGTCTGCCTTTTTGTTAAAATGTGTATTTATGGAGCCTGCAGTTAACTTCTTTTCTTCTGGCTTATCCACTATGAAGGTAGAATTTCTGCCAGTTAAGGTTTCCAAATGAAATACGATCTCCTATTTACCATTTATATTCCTATTGGATTGGTGATGATCTAACAGTTGTAATGTCCTCTTTGTAAGTCACGAGTCTTTTTTTTCCTCCCCCCCAAAAAGGAGCATTATGTCAAGTAAAAATGCCATTCTAGAATTCATTCTCCCACATGTTCTTCTTTCTTTTCCTCTTGGGCTCTGTAAGACTCGGACTGTTGTCTGTACCCAGTGTCTTTATTCATGCCATTTCAGCACTAGGCAAAGACATTACCAGTAGAATTTGACAACTAGTGAGGCAAATGTATAGTTAGGAGGAGCAGTAACATCAAAGATCCCTATTATAAGGAGGAAATCTTAAAGTCAAATTGACTGGCATAAATTTTATTTGCTAAAGAGACCTGAAATACAATGTCTTATTCAGAAGATTTGTATAAAAATAACAGTAGATGTCAGGAACAAGGACCATAGCATCTGCTGTATGGCTTGCACTCATTGGATTCTCCTTGAATACGTGTTGAGTGAGTAGAACCGTCTTCTAGGCATTCTGTGTTATAGAAGTAGAAAATTACCATAGATGTCACTGTACAAGGGGAACATGATTTGACCTCTACATAATCACATTCTTTGTATGGTGAGGTAGTATATGCATTGGGATTTGCTTGCTG